CAATGACTAAAATGGAAGATTGAAAATACTTTAAAAATTGATGATGATGTAATGCATCCAGAACTCTCTTATAGTGCTGGTGAAAGAATAAATTGATCTTACCATTTTTGAAAACTCTGGCAGTAAAGCTGAACACACACCTACCCTTTAATCCCGGAAATCCACTCCTAGGTGTATTCTCAACAGAGATGTGTATGTACGTACACCAAAAGTCATGCAGAGGAAATTTCACAAGAGCACAATATTATCTGATGCTGAATAACAAATTACTCTAAAGCATAGTAACTTAAAACAACACACATTTATTACCTCCCAGTTATTGTGGGTCAGGAATCCATGAGTGACTTAGCTGAGTAAAGGGCCAATTTATCCATCAGGTCCAGTATGTGCAGTCCCTAGAGCCCACAATACTTTCAGTACAATTTTCTTCTTGCAATAAGTGAAATACAGCCTCCTGCTCTTCGCTCCCCGTCCCTTCCCTTCCCTCCCCTCCCTCCTTGCTTTCCTTCCTCCCTCCCTTCCTTCCTTCCTTCCTCCCTCCTTCCCTCCCTCCCTCCCTTCCTTCCTTCCTTCCTTCCTTCCTTCCTTCCTTCCTTCCTTCCTTCCTTCCTTCCTTCCTTCCTTCCTTCCTTTCTTCCTTCCTTCCTTCCTTCCTTCCCTCTTTCCTTCTTTTTCTTTTTCTTTCAAGTGAAAGAAAGGGCCCAGAGAGACAAAAGTGCCTAGGGCCCACAAAAATCATAGAATTCAACCCTGACTATGTGGTTCTGGCTGAAGGTGTCTTAGGAAGTTTTGGTGAGGCTGTCAGCTGGGGATACAGTCATCAGAAGATTCCACTGTGGGAGGATCTACTTCTAGGTTCACTGAGGTAGTTGCTGGTATGTCTCAGCTCCTCTCTGGCTATTAGCTGGAGACCTTAATTCCTCACCACACAGGCCTCTCTCTCCACAGCTTCCTGAATGTCCTCATGACATAGCAGAGGGCTTCTCCCAGAGCAAGGCAGGAGAGAGAGAGAAACATCAAGGCAAAAGCCTCAGTGTCTTTATAACCTAATCTTGGAAGTGATGGCACATCAAGAGGCCAGGCACAAAGAGTACACTTTGTATGATTCCATTTATATGAAGTTAAAAAATGGGCAAAACGACTCTATGTGTTAGAGGTGAGAATAGTGTTCCCCCAGAAAGATAATGACTGGAAATAGATTTAAGGGGGGCTTGGAGAAGCTGCTGCATTTAGTTTCTTCATCTGGGTTTTAGCTCTACAGGTTTGTGAAATTCACTGAATTGCACACTTTTCTCTATATTCTTTTTACTTCAAAAAGAATTTTTCAAAAGTCCATGTCAGAACACCTTTATTGCCTTCCTTTCCTAAAGAGACATTCTAGAAATGGTATGTGTTATGGCTTGGTGTATATCTGGGATAACTACAACATCTGGTCAACATTTTGGTCCAAGGCTGTGAGACCTTGACTGAACAAGTCACTTATCCTCTCTGAACATGGTTTGCAAAGAGCTGGGTGGACACATGCCCTTCCAGCCTCAAAGTGTGATGGAGAATGTTGGGTAACATCAGGCACAGTTGAATACTGTTGTACACAAGATTAAGTATTAAAGTCAGGGAGTAATGTAAAAATCAACTATAAACAAACTACCCTTGACAATTCTGTAGATAACCCCTAAATCACTGGGATGCCCTTGGAAGCTCAAAAGCCGGGCACTAGGAGTGTACTTCTTTTGTTTCTCTTTAGATTTCTGCCTTTAGTCTTCCTTTCTGTGGGGCAGCCTAGGACAAAACTGGCTTGAATGGCAGTGCAGGGGGAGAAACAAGGATTTCTCACTTTCCTAATCTCTTTTATGTTGAGGGCACCTAATTGAATGTCCCTATTACATATACCTTTACAGTAATTCCAATGTATGTGAAAGCACTGAAAATTATAACAATATTAAGGAAATGTAGTGATGATTCATCTTTGGAACAGGAGGTGTCCTCGGATTATTTTGGGTCTAGAAAGTCTTTATGGATAATGCCAAAGTTAAACAAAGTGACTGATTAAAGTCAATTAACCAAAACAGGGGGCTGCTTGATGCTTAACGACATGTTGGGATAATAAATAGAGAAAGAGGCTAAAGTTAACTTTAGATATTACCATAAATAGCAATTTTGCAATTATGTAGTACTTTATAGTTTACAAAATCTAAGTCATTTCTTAAAAATTAATCTTACTTTAAAGATGAGGCTTAACTACTCAAGGTCATCTGACTAGCTTAACAGGAGAACTGAGATTTATAATCAGATCTTCTAAGTTCAAAACCAAAATACTTCCCAGGAGACCAAGAGATCTCCCCCTACCCCCGTTTATGAGTGGTGATGGTGCAAAGAGGTAGGTTTAAGGATTTGTGATCTGGCTCTCCTGGGCTTATGCTCTGTCTTCAGCCACGTGCATGATCCATATGACCTTGACCATCTTCTCTAGGCGAGATTCCCAAGATTAACCAAGACAAGGTAGGAAGCACAGACTTACCTGGGCGGCTATGATTCTCACCTAGGTAGAGACCTACTGCACAGGATGAGGTCAAAAGTTGTCCTTGTGTGACCCAGGATGTGTGGGGTTTAGGGTTATCCAGCTGGGTGATACAGCTGGTTTCTGATGCTCCAGGATGGGGCCAGGTTATCTTTTTAATACATATATACCTGCATCATGCTTATGTATGCATTCCATATCTGCTTATCAATCATTTGAAAAGATAAACTTTGCCCAGTAAAGACATATGTTATGAAATAATTGTGATATCATAATTCACCCTCATGGGAGTTGGAATTCACAGTGCATAGGACAATCTTTGTGCCTTAAAACTTTGCAGAGGTGTGTAACCCTTTAATGGGACTGAAGGCTCCCAGACAGGGCTCCTCTACTGACTAGGGGGACCAGGATGTGGCCTTGTGAAGTGGCTTAGGGAGGAGAGTAGTAGTGGGCTCGGTGGAGAATCTTCTCCAACTCCTCACATTTAGGAGAGATATTGCTATGTCCAGATATGATTCCATTTCAGTTATAATTTGTCATTCCAGTGTTTCCTTTGGGACTCAGGTAGCAGCAGGAGGCCCCCTGGTGGCCTGAAATCATTCATGGGTTTGCTTATCAAGCATTTTGAAGGGCAGGTGTGGCTGGAGAAGTATGAAGGTAATAAATACTCACCTACACCCGTTGCTTACAGTTGAGGCAGAGCAGAGTAGGATGATGCATTTGGGGAGAGTTGAGAACTAAAATATTTTCTTTTAAGAGAGTAAAATAAATGGACTGTGATTCTAGATAAACCACTCGCTTTCTGATTTTTCATTCTTTAGTTTATTTAGCAAACATTTATTGAGTACCTACTCTGTGCAAGATATTGTATTTGGCATCACATGAGAGTTAAAAAAAAAAGACATCATCCCATTTAAGGAGCTTTGGAAGAGGATAAAACATTTATGCCTCCAACATGGTAGAAAATGAAAGGTGCCATCAGAGAATAAATAAGTAAAGACTCTCAAAGGAGTAATTACTTTGAGATAAAAGGAATAAATAAGTAAAGACTCTCAAAGGAGTAATTACTTTGAGATAAAAGGGAAGGCTTTTTAGGAAGGGGTTGAATTTAGGCTGGGGCTCTAATGAGAAGCAGGATTTGGAGACGTTGAGACAGAGAGGGACGGGATGGCATTATGGAGGAGGGAAAACAGAAGTTGAACATACATGGAAGCAGGAAACCACAGTCTGATTCAGAATGGTCAATAGTCTGAGCTGGCTAACTCATGAGTTTTTGGGCTGGAGTGAAGTGAAAGCTGGATACATCTGTTTGGATCGGATAGTGGAGAACCTTGAACACTTGCCCGAGAAATTTCTTCATCAGCAATGGGGAGCCTTTGAATATTCTGAGCAGAAAAGAGGCATGTCAAAGCACAGACTCCCTCCCATTGAAACCAACCTGATACTACATACTTGCATTTGGCCCGAGGAGTGTGGATGTGCATGCATTTAAGATAATTGTGGTGTACTCTACTATAATGAACAACTCCAGTCTTGCACCATCTGACCTTCAAAGCCAGGAGAAACGAGGCCATCAAGCCTTCTCCCCTTAACAAAACTACAGGCTACAGTCAGTGCCACAGGGCTCCTGCCATATTTAATTAAATTCCTTGAGAGAATGCCTCTCTTGAAAGTGCTACGTGAGGTTTGTTTTGTTTTGCTTCGCATTTCCAAGGTTTAAGAAAGGCTTCATGCCTGACTATCTTCCCATACTAGTTTCATGTGGTTTAAACAACATGAACTAGGGATATTCCTGACGAGCGTTCTGGGGTAGAGTCCTAGCTGGGTGTAGAGTAGCTCAATATCCACAGAAATCAAGCAGTGATCTTATTTGCATGGTATTAGAACTAACTCAGTTAAGCAGCCTAAGAATCTACACAATGCCTGACATATAGTTGACGCTCAAAAATAGGTGAAGCAAATATTTAACAACTGATTGAATAGTTAATGCACATTTAATAACACATTATAAAATGCCTGACTCCAGGCACTGTTTTCCTAATTGTTAATGGCATAGAAGTTGTTTAGAATGTAGTGAACATAATATTATTCTTCACAAGTCATGAAAGAATGATATAATAAGGGGCGCCTGGGTGGCTCAGTCGTTAAGCGTCTGCCTTCGGCTCAGGTCATGATCCCAGGGTCCTGGGATTGAGCCCCGCATCGGGCTCCTTGCTCCACAGGGAGCCTGCTTCTCCCTCTCCTACTCCCCTGCTTCTGCTCCCTCTCTTGCTGTGTCTCTCTCTGTCACATAAATAAATAAAATCTTTAAAAAAAAGAATGATATAATAAAAAATAAAAATCTTTTAGACAAGTTAGGGAGAAGCAACATGCCCATTCGAGAGAAATACATTTGAGACATTGCCAACGAGGCAAGTGAAGATGGGCAGTTTGGAACTGCAGTAAACATAACTACAACAGCAACAAGCATTTAAGAAATTTCAGCAGCAATAAGTATTTATTATTTTGAATGAAATGTACATTAAACTTTATATAAAAATCATCAAAAGTGCTAGGTTGGATTATTTTAATATTAATTTAACCCCCCATGTCATTTAGTAGCTACATCTTTTACCTTTTAACTTCTGACTCATTAAAATCATCTAAAACTGTCCAATGTTAAAACATAAAAAATATTAGTTTATTCTTTAAGAAAAAGTACCACCAGTGATGAGTTATTGAAAGCAAAAAAAAAAAAATAGAGGCCAGAGAATCAGCTTATTAAAAAAATTATCACAGAATTTCATAGAAGGATGAAAAGTCTGAGGTGATTTAGACCCTTAGCAGAATATATTTTTATGATACATCTTCTTTAAAGTGTGGGTTTTTCTTTTTCTTTCTTTCTTTCTTTTTTTTTTTTTTTTTTGAGGCAGGTCACTGGTGTGCCAGAACTATCTATTTTCTCATCTTTCCTTGGCTACTTTCCAAGGTGAACTGAACATTGTCTAATGCTGTGCACCTCTCATGACCCCTCAAATGTCTAATATAGAGAAAAAGCTGATTTTTCAGTCTCAGAAATAGCCCTTAGAGTTAAGTTTGTCATTAAAGAAGACACAAGTAGGTTCTTCATAAAACAGAACCCCCTCTACCCTCCCACACTCAATTCACCCCCATCCCTCTGGTCTGCCGCAATGCACCATTCATTCTCTCCCAATGCACCGTTCACTCTCTCCCACTGCACCGTTCACTCTCTCCCACTGCACTGTTCATTCTCTCCCACTGCACCGTTCATTCTCTCCCACTGCACCGTTCATTGTCTCCCACTCTAGTTCTGGGTGAATTGGATGACACATTGAGAGAAAGTTTTCAGGCCACATATCCCATTGGGGATTCAGTCCTAAGCAAACAAGCTTCTCTGATTCGCCACAAGAGCTGTCTGACTCTCCCGTCTCTTGGCTTTCTTGCTCCTCTGCCTCACCTTCCAGCACAGGGCACTGGAAGCTAACAAAAAAAGTCCAGATGACAGGAGGACCAGACCCAAGATGGAGATGATGGAGCCGTGGGAATTGAAGCTGTAAGCCACAGCAGTGACCACTATTCCAGCGATGAGGACCACCACGGCGAAGGGGATGATGCAGCGGTAACAGGAGAGCTCAGCACCCCCTGTAGCAGCCGTCAACTGAATCTCACTGACCAAGGGGACCGTGGTGACCACCACTTCGCTGTTGGGGCTCTTCTCCATTGTCACAGGCTTGGAAGACGTTGGGGTTCCCAGGATCTCCTTTATGGGCTCTTCAGTCATTTTTACTAGTGATGTTTCCTAGCTGGGTTCACAGACTAGACCTGGGGGTTCTCTCCAGGGTGGAAGCTGTGGAGGAGACAGAACATATCAGGTAAATGCATCAGAGTGAGCTCTGTAAGTAGAAGTGAAGAGCTGGGGAAACATCTCTGGGGTCTTTTCTAGGAGACACAGATGCATGTGAAAATCAGCTTTCATATTTTTTCCCCTGATTGTTTGCGTTCTCTTTGCAAAAAGCAAGATAAAGTGATAGCCATAAAAAAGGGAAGATATAAAAAGCAGGAAGCACTTTACAGTGTTTAATATACCCTGACGATCTACAAATGTTTTACAAGGCTTTCCGTTCTGTCTATTGCTTCTCATTCCTCTAAATGCACCGAAAAGTCTCATTCCTAATCCAAAAGACAGCCTCCTTCATGGGGAGAATACACTATAAACAATCCTTCACACGGTTCATTCCAAAACTCATAGCAACTTAGACTCTGCCAATGTTTTCAGGCATAACATGCATTCCAAACTATCACTCATTCACTGCCCACCAAATCGGTGTCAAGACCAGCAGACAGTGTGCGAATGAGGTTCTCCTATAGCAGATGACTGTCAGCAGGTCTTTATTGTTGTAACTATTTAACAGTGCAACATGTGTCCTGGGACCACGGCGGGGTTGCAGGTCAGCAAAAATTCAGCAGCAATAAGACTAGGATTTGTGATCTGAAATGGGGCAATACCTTCCAATCTATTTGAAAAAGGAAAAGTTGGGGGGGGATTCAGTTTTGTAGGATATAATTTTGTACTTTCTTACATTAAAGTAAGATTAACTCTTAGAGTAACGAGCTGTCAGTTCAAAATTTTCCATAGAACTCAACAAGGAATTTCAACACTATGCGGACCATGACATGTATTAAAAAATAAGCATGCTAGATTTTCAGCAAAGTTTTAGACTTTCTTTATTTTCCCATGCCCTTGCTGCGATATACCTTTCTGGATATTTTGAACCGGAACACTTCAGGACAAAATCTGAAACTCTTGGTCAAAAGCGTCTGGTTGAAATGCTGCCTAGGAGAAATCAGTGAATGCTCTTGTCTGCTGTTCAGACATGTTAAGTCATTCTCTTTTGTCTCTGAGAAGCGACAGAGCAGCTAAAGAATTGAGCAATTGCAGTCACTGAAGAAATTTAGAGGCAGATTCTTGAGGCTACTTCAATGAGATTAATACTTTGAACGTATTAAGCATCCACTGAAAACAAATTCAAGCCCAAATCAGCATATCACTCCCTGTGCAATGAAGCTAAATATTAGAACTGCCTGTCTGCCTATAATTTTTAGTCAACAAAATTAATCACTGCTGTCCAATGATATCCTAGTATCATTACTAGGCCAGTAAAAAGATATTTGAGATTATGTCGGAAAGCAAAAAAAAGTCTTTCCCCCAAAGCTGAGGCATAAGCTAACTTGCAAATGAAGATCTGTCCCCAGACGACATACACATACCTCTGAGAAAAGCAATCCATTACCAGGGGAGCCACTGGACTTGGGAGGGAAGAATCAGCAGCGCTTGAGCTTCTTCAGTCAACTTCTGCGAAAAGAGCCTGTAATAGCACGTCTGTCAATAAAATGACAGGACAAGAATCTCCTCTGGGGAAAAGAAAAGGTAGAAAAATACTGTGCTGTATGGTTGGTTTCAGATCCTGGAGTTCCTTCTTTCGCTCTACCTCTGTTCCTAAATGACGCTTGTCTTTCCCTCTCTCTCTTTTTATTTCCTCCCCCTCCGGATTGCCCCTCCCTGTCATTTTTTTTTTTCTTCGTTCTCTTCCTTGCCAGCAGATTTCGAGTTTTGGCTTCCCCCAACTCTGCTCAGTGACATGATAAGTCAGAATCATTCTAGAGTCCCCAGAGACAGGAGCCAGCTTTTACTTTTATTTCTCTTGCAGCATTTACTAAGTAGACGGCTTTGCATTACTCATTTTTTCCCCAGCTAACCTCCAGATCTTCCTCCCACCCATCAGGCATTTTCATAAGAAAATCCCGAGTCAGCGCTGCAGACCCAGCTGAGGGGACAGAGCCGAAGGGACAGACTCTTTAGGGCAGCAAGAACAGCTGTGAAGTCATGGGGCAGCTGAATTCAGCCTGTAAGCCTGCAAAAATCCACGTTCCTAGGCTTCCCCAGTATTCTTTATTTATATGTGTGTGGGGCCATGCAAAGCTTAAAACCTCCCTTGTTTGATATTAATTCACTTAGGAATGAGGGTGGGGGATGCAAACGCTATGGTTGAGGGAGAAACCAATCATCTTGATTTAAACATGATCACTTACTGCTCGTGCTAGGAGGTAAGTACTTTTGGCAATGCTGAAATTATCATCACCATCAACGCTATCATGTACAGAGAGGATCTACTATGGATGTGACACATATAGTCTCCATGCATTAACACTAATTCTCACTAGTTTACAAATGAGTTTATAAATAGTTTATAAATGAGGCTTGGAGGGGTTAAATAATCTCACAAAGGTCACACAGAAAGAAAGAAACCCTTAGTTTGAACCCCAGTCTTTAAGGGGCACATAAATCATGTGGAGAGCTCGTTAAATGTAGAATCTGATTTAGTAGGTCTGTAACAAGCTCCTGGCTGATGCCAATCTGCTGCTCCTTGGCTCACTTTTAGGAGCAAGATATTTTAAACATTCAAGTAGACATGGCTTGATGCATCACACTCTCAAACAATAAAGTTAAAGGTTTATATCTGCCCATTCCCCAAGTGGCCTTACAGGTTTATACTTTTTTACAGATAAGCTATTGGAAATTTTAAAGCCCTAGATTGCCTTTTTGAGAGAAAAATGAGATAATACTGGCACACTATTAAAAGCTCATCCCTGTACTTCTGCAGCTAAACGTTATCCATCCTCTATATTTTAATCTCTACAAGTTTTAATAACTTCTTTTTAATTAATATGGCGAATCTACAAATGTGAATTAGATCTTGGAAGAGATTTGTTCCCTTCTTCCTCTTGGGTTGTTAGATTGCTTTAACTATTGGTGCAGGGCTTGGATGTTCCTAGGCATCTCCCTTCTGTTCTAAGATAGCCTCCTGCATCTAGTAAAAATACTTTGATGATTTTGTCATAATGGGGGAGGGAACAGAAGTCCTTTTTTCTAGAATGGAAGTCAGAGAGAGGGCTACTTCATCGCAAAAAAACACTGAAGTTGAAAAGTCCTTGAGGTCTGACTTCACCACGTAAGGGGAGCCCAGCGTGCTGAGAACCCTGACTACCTGGAGGTCCTCCTAGCTGCCATCCTTGTACTTTTAAAATGTGGGGCCACAAGAGACAGAGCCATCATCCAGGAGAAATGCTGGTGTCAAAGATAAAGGATGCTTAGAACCAGGGCATTTCAGCACTTGCCAACATTGCCCTGGGAAGATGGTGATATGGAGGCTGCTGGCTACATACATTGGAGGCTTTGGGGACGCTCCTTATAAGAGCATCAATCCCTCCCATCTGCAATGTGTGGACTTTGATCACAGTTCCTCTCCATCTCCTAGCATAGGTCTCTTTCCCCCCTAAAATAATCCAATAAACCCACTGCAGCTCTCAATATCACCTTACCCTGTTGAAGATCATAGTCCCCTATTACCAAATCAAAGGTAATGAATCAAACTTTCACCAGAGAGAAACCAGAGGCACCGTTTTTCCGCAGTGAGCCCTTGGCTGAATCTGTAATAAGGGACAGTGAGTGTATCTGTGTGCTGGGAACGAGGGCAAGTCTGTCATTACTTGTAACACCAAAGCATTCTTCAGCCTTTCCAGGCTCCAAGCATCTCATTCACCCTAATTCTTCACAGAGAGTGTGCATATGCCTAGATACACAGATGCACATCTCCAGACTCTAAGTAGACAACCAATGATTTGTATGGATAAATACAAAGATGAAGAAAGCTTTGGGATAAAACAGAAGTTGTATACGAAGAATAGGCACCAATCATTACACTCACAGACACACGCAGTTTCAACTGACTTTTATCCCTTCGAGTTGAAATTCAGGGAGAATTCCTAGTGATCAGTGCTGATGTCTTTGAATATTTTTACCTGCTTCCACTCTGTGCCTATAAGATACTAAACCCCCTTGGGAATTCCTTAAGGGACACCTGCCCCCAAATGCAGAATCTTATTCACAATGCAACCAGTCTTCTTTCTAAAAGCCTTTCAGAAGGGAGAAGAAATCTTTCGGGTTCTTTTTAAAACACACGGCTCCAGGAGACTCTTTTAAGTTTGGGGAATTTTCAGAAAGCTTCCAGTGCATGAATTAAGTCAATGCCTCCCACCAGCCCCTACTACACCTCGGTAGGCATTCAACATTTTTCTCCCAGATCTTTCAAAAAGCAAGGCAAAGATTCTTACCTTTCCCAGCCAGAATCCGACTGAGACAGCTGCCTGCCTCAGCCAACAGCAACCCAGAGAGGGGGATGCAAATCACCACACTAGGGACTGTAAACAAAGTACTCAACAAGGCTTAAACACAATTAAGGGACCGGAGAAAACTTGGAGAGAGGAAATCCTTTAAGTGCCGCTGCATTTTGTTCGGTTTCCCTCTATGAGAATGTCATCCATATTTTTAAAAAGGGAACCAAGTTTGAAAAGAATGTCCTGCTTTGTTTTACTCTCTTTATAGCCTCATTCAGGCTTTCATTTTCAAGATGTTCCCTACCCAAAGCCCCCATCCTGATACTCCTCTGTCCTACTTGGAACCTGCAGAAAAGAATTTGTCATCTTCGTTCTATACTTCCAGGCAGGTGTGGGGTTCAGGAGGTATGTGGGCATGAGGAGTGGGGTGTAAACTAATCTCTTGCATCCTAATATGCATGTAAGAAGAGGAGTAATTGAAGAGGAGGATTCGTGGTGAAAATGGCATGTAGTTTCTTGTGTGGACCCTTTCCCTAGAGCCCCAGTCAGTAGTGGTCTTATCTGCGCTCTTCATCAGAGGATGGCAAGGCACCATGGAAGTGATGGTTTACTGGAAAATCACATCTCTGAGGAACTGAACTCCTAATCAGCACCTCATTTCCAGGCTTCAACATCAGTCTGGTGCTGGGAAATTGAAACCACCCTGCAACATGTAACATTCCCACCAAAGGCATCATAAACAGCAGAGCTTGCTAGTCTGGAGAGAATTTCCCCAAATTTGAAAAAAATCTTATTTCACTCAGAAATGAGATTAGAAACAAAGCTATTTAGGTGCAGGGGATACAGAAGTGGAGGAGGGCAGGGAAGATGGTGATGACAAAGAAGAGATTTCGCCCCTTTCCCTTCGATAGAAGCCAAGATTCAGTCTCTGGGCTGGAAAGGGGGGCGTTTTGATTTTGCCATTGACTTTATCCTGTTGAAGACCTGGAAATTGCTCCTTTGGGAACACACACACTTTGCATTTTGTGAAGAGCACCCCCGTGTGTATTCAATTACTCGCCCATATTTGCTTCAAGTTTGCCTTTGCTTGGTGTGGTTCGGTTGGCTAATTTCCAGCGGCTCTGAAGATGCCAGTTCCTTCCGGCACTCCATCCAATCACTGCATGCCTTTGATCTGGGTCATCACCCAGTCCAGTTGGATTCAGTGAGGTTTGGGAAGCTGGCCAGTTTTTCTCCTTTCCAATGCTTCTTTTAAGGGTGTGTCTGCGTTTATGTTCTGAAATCACTAACATTTTGGAAAGTGATCTGTGCTTGTGTGTTCATTTTGGATAACAGGTCATGTTATTACTGCTTTCCCCCACACCACTCCCCACCCCCAGGCACTTTTCTTTGAGCTCTAGGACATTAAATAGAGAGATCTGATAGCACCAAGAGGAACAGTGGGTATGCCTTAGATATAAATACATATTTTACTATTTGCTGGTCAATTTCCAGCTACCAGAAACTCATGAAGTCCACGTGAGTATAAAAAGGAAAACATACATCTTTTAGATACACATCCTGGTCACCATTCTCTTACCCATTTTGTTCTGAGTAACTGTGAACGATCATATAAACATAAAAAAACAGAGTTGCTAAATCAAATGACACAGTGGAACCTTAGGGAGGGCTGAGTAAATCACCTCTCACTTCAACAAGAGCTAATGGGCACTCCAGCCTCAGATGAGAAATGATTTTCTTGTTTCAAAATCCGAATATATGTTGAAACTGCTGTGTTCCTGATACATCCCCATGTATCTTGCATAATCCTTTGTATTTATGTATTATTATTCTTTTGAGCCCTAAGATGAGGCACCTCGAAGGTAAAGAGTTATAGCAAATTGGGCTACTACTAGGGAGAGAGGTAAACCAGGATTCAAGCCCAAGCGCTGCTTTTTCCTGTGTTGTGCTGGGAAGACTGTTGTGTAGTATTATTTATGAGGTTGCGTGTCTCTTCCTAACTTCAGAGGAAGTCCCATTTTCCTGGGTTCAGGATGACATAGTCTCACTAGGTTTAGTTTTGGAAAAGTGTTTTGAGAAGGCATACCTATTGCTTCTAGGATGATGAAACCATGTGTGTTGCCTCATATGCATCTGGGTTTTGAAATCGAGCTGTCTTCTTACTAAGCAGATCTGGGGAGGTTTGAGACACAGGCCTAGTACCAGTGGAGTCTGTGCCAGATGCTATGGCAGTAGGGACATTTCAGATGTCACCCAGGCCATTCCTGTGCTTTCAAGAACATTTAAGTTCCACTGGTAT